ACCAACAAATGCAAATTCAATAAAATCAAGAATTTCTTTTTCATACAAAGGTTCTGCCCTATCAAGAATATGCATCCAACTTTTATCTAACCTCACACTAGTGTAAGAAAGACTTTTTATGATGATTATTTTAAATTTTTTATGTCGATTTTACACCCAACATAAATGCAAACATCAATTATTAAGTAACCAACATAATAAGTACTAATTATGTTGATTTTTAACATAATCGTCATAGAAAGTCTTGCATCAAATTTTTTATAAGCATTTTATCGAATAATTTTAGTACAATAACAAATCTCAAAAATTAAACATGAACGTTATCTATACGAAAAATAATTAAATATAAAATATAGAAAATTCTCACTTAAGTTTGATGAGAATCATTCATATGAGAAAAAAATTCATAATAACAATTCTAATCTAACATATATTAGAACACTCAATTAAACCAAACCATGAAATTCAAACTAATATAAAAAAAATGAGACAATGCTTCCAAATATTACCTTTATTATAAATGAGAAAAAATTAATATTGTGAGAAATGGTGCTATAAGCATGAAAAAATAATAGTAGATAAATATAATAAGGAGACAATGAGACAAAAAAAGAAGAATTTGAGTGGTGTTCTTTTGCGTGCAAGGGGAAAAATTGCAAGATGAGGAAGATGAAGAGGATAAAATAAATTTAGAAAATTTAAATTTGGTAACTTTTTATAACGGTTCAATTTTGAATTGTCATAGTAAGTATTTTTCATATTAATTCAATTTTAAACCATCATAATAAGTATTTATTATGACGGTTTAATTTTTAACTGACATAAAATGTGACTCGTATTAAATATTGACAAAGTTACTTACTATGTTGCTTTAAAATTGAATTGTTATATTAAACACTTATAATCAACTTTGAACGGTCATAGAAAATTGTTATTATACTCGTTGAAAAATGAATTGTCATTAAAAAAATATTTTTTATATCGGTTTAAAATTAAATCATTATAAAATATTATTTTTGAATTAATATGATTACTAGAAAATTATATATTATATTATTAATTTGTAAAAACTTAAAAATAATCAAGAATCAATGAAAAAAACACTTACAATCAAAATGTATAAAATTATAAAATAAATAATTCAAAATATTAAATTTTTTACCTGCTAATAAATTTGTAACTCTTGACTTTTTTTCCCACAATTTCATACTCAATTGATTATGTTGTTTTAAAAGAAAAATCTCCTTCCTCTTTAATTATGTATGTTTTTATACTATTTATAATTCTATCATAAACATTTTCATTATTTTTAATATATAACAGTTTATTTTTTAATAAAATCTTTTATTAATCAATTAATAATTTAAATTCATTAGAATATTCTATTATTTTTATCAAAAGATTATATTTCATAAATAATTTATTTCTTTAATATTTTATCAATTTTTTTAACAAATATGAAATAAAGATTCTTATTAATTTTTTAAAATATAAAATAAGGAATGGAGATTTTCTAAAATATATTTAATTACCTTAGCTGGCGTATAAGGTGAATATTCAACATCTTAATTATTCACTAACTTAAATTAATTTTAATTTAATTTTTAAATTAAAAATACAAATAATACCTATTTTTATCCATTATCATAAAAAAAATATTTTTTTATTTATTTTTATAATTTGATAAATTTTTATTTAAGGAATATTTTAGTTATTTTTTCTTATTATTATTTAATTCATTTAAATGACATTAAATTCTTAATTAATAAAATTATAAATTTTATTTTATTTTAAATAAAAATTAATTTAAATAATCAAATAAGACCCATCAGAAAATCATAATTAAAAAATATCATAAGTCATTAAGATAATTTATTTATTTTATTTGTGTAATTAATATATTTTATATGTTTTTCTAAGTTCTGTTACAGTTATTTAAATTTTAATATTTTATTTATAATAAAGTAATATATTATATTTATAATAATGATTTATATATAAAAATAAATTTTAAAATAAATAAAAAAGTATATTAAGTAAAAGAAAGAAAAAAATATATAAAAATATTTATATTTTAATCAATAAATTTGAAATAAATAAAAAAACTCAAACATTAAAAAGGAAAACAAATAAACAAACAATAGATTAAGTGTGTGGCTATCTTATGTAACATTATTTATGTATTATTACTTAATTTATTTTTATGTTAATTTTAAATTTTTTTACGTGAGGTAAATTAAATTTTAGCACTGACATTCGGTGCTCAAATAAAAAATAAGAGGCTAAAAAAATTACAAAGCAAAACCAAAAAATTTAGAATTGATACGGTTTATTTATTGAAGGTCAGAATTCAAAATATAAAAAATAAAAAAATAATGAAAATTTTGAATAGGATGAAAATAAATATATACCTAAAAACATGATAAAGTGTTAAAACAAGATAATATAAGATGGAACAAATGCAAACAGTATCTTTAATTATGTTTATCTCAGATAATTAATTTATATTTTCTTTAATAATTTTTATCATTAACTTTTTTATTGTATAGATATTAAAGTTAAATTTAAAAAAAAATTCGGAATTCAATCATCGTAATATTAACTAAATTATATATACTTGTATAACAAGTTTTTTTCTTTAATTTATATATTTATATCACAAGTTTTTTTTAATTTAATAAATTATTACTAATTTATTTTTAATAATTTATTTTAGACAAAAGACAGGAATATATCATAAATGTAAAACTTTAGAAAGAATATATAATTTTGTATTATGGTTTAAAATACTTTATACATGTACATGAAAAAAAGAGCTTGAAAAATAAAGTTAATCGAAAAAAAAAATTAATTATTGAAAATGTTAATGTAGTTTTTATGTTTTATATTATGAATTTTATATAATTTTTTTATATAATTTTTTTACATTATATATAAGTATATTTTTCATTGTTACTTATTTATTTAAATAAAACCTCATTTAGGATATTAAAGATTTAATATTTTTTATATTTTTTATTGTTACTTATTTATTGAATAAGATTTTGTTTAAGACATAAAAAACTTAATATTTTTTATAAATTCATAAGATATAAATTTATTATTTTATTTATTTTTTAAAATTTATTTAATAAATTATATTCTTTTATTTAATTTAATCTTGGTTACATTATGTTATTTATTTCCAATTGTAAAATTAAAAAACGATCAATTATTAAATGTTATGCAAGCATGAAAAATTACGATATGGTATATTTCAAATGATGTAAGTAAAAAATAATTTAATTTATATTTTAATATATTTAAGTATAATTTAAAATTTAAAAATTATAATTTTCTTGTTAATATTTTAAAATTGTAAAAGATATATTATGGAATTAATAGGTATATTATGACATATTTATAATATAAATTATTTTTTGCTTAAGATAATTTCTAAAAAAATGTAGGTATATGAAAAGGAAAATTTTAAAAATACATTGTTTAAACACTTAATTTATAGGAGCAAAATCAAATAAAGATATAGGCACTGCATCAATGAAAAGAAAATTATGGCAAAACAATTATGTGTCTTAATTTTTGAATAATTTGTATTTGAACAATTATATATCATATTTTTAATAATTTAATGATTGAATAATAATATTCAAAACTAATAATTTGGACAAAGATAAATATTATAATTATTATAAAAAATTAATAATAACAATTAATTTATTATATATATATATATGATATTAAAATAATTGTTTATTTTTATAAATTTTTTATAGTGATAATTTGTACTTATCACTGTGATAATTTATTATTATTACTATTATATATAATTATTAATGTTAAATATTTTTGCCAATATAAAGATTAATTTTAAAAATATTACCACAGCTATATTAATACGTGACAATTAAATTATTATTACAAAATAATAATAATAAATTTAAAAATTTTATTGAATATTTAGATCACTACAATTAATTTTTCTTGTGGTGAATCTATGGTCCATCATACATAATATTGCAACAGAACATTGCATTAAAACATTAGCAACTAAACACCCTTCTTCCATTATCAATCCACTTGGTGCCCACACCAATTTTCCATCAACAAGACATAATGAGTAGAGTGTGGAAGGGTGATTAGTGAGTCACTTAAGCAATAAGTTAAACCATAAATTGGGAAAATAATTGTAAAAGCATGCATGGACAAAGGGAAAAGATATCATATTGAACCTTGGATTAAAGACATATGTCTTTCTTATTTTGATTAAGGATAACAAAGTCATTATTTTGTAAAAGTAATTGTAATATGTCATACATGTTATTCACTAAATACTTTTTTTCTGAACCAACGTTGTATTTTTTGTCGTGTAGATCAGCGTATACTTAATAATTTTTCTTAGTGAATAGTGAATATGTTAGCGAAATATTATAACATGTATATAAAGAATTTACTTAGGTCAAAATTTATATTATCAAATAAATAAAAAGTTAGAATATAGTTAGACTTATTAGATCATCGAAAAGGAAGTTTCGAAGTGAATTTTTCCTCATACTATACTAGCATGTTAGTTTTATGTTTCTTAACTAACGATATTCTCTATAATAATGCTAACGTATAACATACTAGCATTTCAACTTTCATAACGAGAAGACACATATTTGCATTGTGCGTCTTTCTTGTGCCTTGTATACCAATTTCTAGGAAGGAATTTGACTACAAATTCTATGCAAAAGGTGTTGTGTCTTATTCCTGAGGCAGAACAAAGCACACAAAGACGCATGTATTAGATTAAGGGACTTATTTCAATCTGGTAGGTAAATAAATACATGGAGTGGTGGTAGCACCTAACAAGGCATTGAGAAACTTAAACTTTGTTTTGCAGTTTAAAATGCACAAACCTCAGTTGAAGCTAATCTATCAAACACAGCCTTTTTTTCCTATGAACCAGAGTAGTGAAACCTCTACACCAAATACATTGTTAATTGATGAAATTTCAAGCTTCAGGGGCATTTGGGTCCTCCTCTTTTGGTCTTCCAGTTGTTGTAGCATGGGCAAACCTGCTTGTTGCCATAAGTTCCAGGAGGCACACACAAGCACTTGGCACAGCACTTTTGGCAGAAAAACAGGCACGGTTTCTTGTACTGCGTATTTGAACATCTAGCTGTGCAACGTGGACCACATTCTGCAGTTTTGTGCATTCAAGAAACATCATCAAGTTCCAAAACAAATGCAAAAAGAAATGGAAAGGAAAAAGGAAATGGAGAAAGAAGTGTCCAAAATTTAACTCAACGCAAGAAGTTAGAATTTGGAGAAAATTGTTAAACTGATGAATGACAACTAGTGAATTCATTTGCATAACCTGTTGTATGATTTCAGTAACCATTTATCACTAATCAAAATCTCTTTTTCCAACTATTAGTTGTGAATTTGTGATGCACGCAACTTTAACAAAATAATTTGTCCTTTCTTATCAGTATTACCTTGTGGTTTAAGACTGCCTTCAGTGATGCCATGCTGCAATTCAGGGAAACAAACATGAAGTTAACATAAAAGGGAATTCAGAAACTTGTTGGAATAAAATGCAATTACTAAAATGTGTAGTTATCTGTTTTAGAAATGAAGATTTAAAGTTCAAGGGTATAATTCTCACGGAAATTAATGTGTATAAGCCAAAATCTTGGTGTTTTTAGTCTGATTAGAGGCTAAATTACAAGGATCAAAAATAGGTGTATGAATAAGGTAGACTGGTCCTAATAAAGAAGTTTTTTTCCTCTAAGGAAAAATTCAGACATTGACAACCCCTTCATTAGATGATAGTAACACAAAATTCTTGTCATAAGACAGACTAAGTCTGTTTGCCTGTGATAAGACAGACTGTTACTGATTCAAAGGACGGTACGAAAAAATTACGAGATTCTCACCAAGTACATCAATCCTAGGATATAAGAGTGAAGTAGTGTTTATTCATAAAGTCCAAATCATGCATGCATTCATATTTGAATACATCTATGTAACTTTTCTTACATAATTGATAATTTTTATCAATAATTTCTAACAATACTGACAAGGTCTGCATCTAAGAAAAAATCAATTGTAAAGTATGCAATATACAGTATTTCCCAAACCAAAAACAGGAATCACATTGTGACAAAAAAATAACTCACATTGGGGGTGGTGTTTTTGTTAGGCTGAGGAGGAGGAGGAGGAGGAGCAAAGTGGGTGGTGGGTTTGTGAGGAGGTGGTGAAGCAAAGTGGGTGGTGGTCTTGTGAGGCTGTGGGGCTGGAGCCTCAACTGTGGACACAACAATCTCAGCCTGAAAGCATAATTAACATTGTCTATAATGTCAGAAACACTATTTACTTACACCAGCAACAAGAAAATGTTGTTTATACACAGTAAAGAAATCATGTACTGTGCTTGACAGAAATCATGCATCCAACCCAACGTTATGAAAAAGTATATAGAGGAAATGTTATGATAACAAAACTACACTATAAAAAAATGAGTTTAAAAAGAAACATTGTATTGTTTATTACTTACATTTTTAGCTAATGCTTTTGCACATTCAATTCCATTCCTTAAACATTCTCATTTTCTACTTTTGCTGCCATTTCTGGTCAGAATGAACAAGATTAACAAACTAAATCAAGCATGCAAGCCCACGCTAACTTCATCTTGAAACAACGACCAAAAAAACTAAAAGAATTTCAAGTGGAAGTAACAATGCGGAGCTTAAAAAGTTACAGTGTAAGACTGCTAAAGCTGAGGTTGGAGTTTTCAGTAAAACAGAAAGAGAACCAAATGATTCGCTTTGGCTTACATGGTTTTCTACAAGAACAAGCAGCATTTGAACAAGGAAGAGCAGAATGAAGCTTAGTTTTCTCCCCATTGCTTAAAATGGACCTCACACAAAGAAACTGAGAGAAGAAGAATTAGTAAGAAGTTATCCCAAGTATGGTATCCAGGAATTAGTGGCAAATGAGATTTTGAGGCTATTTTATAGATGAAATGTGGCACTATATGTAATCACATTAGCTATTGTTTTAGATGGAAAAAGACAATCACATACTCTGCTTGGACAAACACAATTACAAGTCCATCCTTCCCCACGCTTTCCAAGCCATCCATTTCGCTAATTCAATTATTTATGAGTATATACATATATGAGTTATGCTTGTGCCAATTTGAAAATGTGATATAGATCTCATGTTAAACATAATCATAATAGCTTTAAATAAGTCTCTGACATTAAAATTGTACTGAATAACTTTAGATATTCTGACACAATTTTTCAACACAGATGCACAGAACACGTTCATTGTGGTCTTTTATTCACTACTTGAATAGTTTATCAAACCCCTTCTGCTTATCAAGTGAAAGTACAAATAGGCAACATCATGGAGTTGAAAAGGCAAGCAAATCTTAGTACATTAAGTGCTTTGTTTGAGTTTATTTTGGTGAAACAGTTACATTTTTACCAGCATTCTAAAACCAACCCTTTGCTAAACGTGCATTTACATTCACTTCTACTTAAGTATAATAATTACTATAAAATGACAACCGAAAATATTGATGAACTCGTGACAACTGAGGAAAAAGGGTGAAAAATGAGAAAAGACCATTTTAGTGCTGGCGACTTGAACCACAAAGTGGAGCCAAAACCTATGACAAGGGAAGTAAATGAAAATGAAAAGAAACAAAGAAATGATGGTGAATAATTGCTGAATCATACTACAGGTTAAAACTAGGGGCCGAAAGGAGTTTTCTCACGTGAATGGTTAGTATGAAAAGGACAGGTTGCCATCTCACATGTGCATCCCCATGTGATTTTCCAATGCACCCTCACTAACTAACTCAGAGTGTGACACAGGAACTAGGAAACACCGTACATAACCTCTCACCCTTCCTCTGCCTTGTCCTTTATATAGACCTGCCACTGTGAGAATCCTTTTGAGTAACAATAGCATTCCCGTGAACTAGTTTATGCATTTTCTATATTTTCTTTTTCTTCCTTTGATCTTGAAGTTGTAGCAGTTGTTTTAGCTGGTTTTATGAGAAGTCGCCTTCACATTTTGCAGCAATTCCTTTCAGCCGTGGAATCACATCACACATCTAACAAATCTTGTGAAAATGTGAGTTTTTTTTTTTATGTTTTGGTAGGGTTAAGTTAACTGTGTATTTTATTATTATTATTATTATTAATGTGTGGATATTTTTGCTTTAGTAGCTTCATTTTGATCTTCTAGTTTTAATTAATAAAGTCTGATTGACACATTAAAAAAAATTGGAGAATTGCAAATCCATCAGTGACTTGTCATTATTTTTATATGGTTTTGACAACGCAACAACTTGATTAAGTATCTTTTTGAGATTTTACTTTAATTTTTCAACATATTTCATGATTTTTTTAAATGATATATTTTAATATTTAATATTAAACTATTTAATTTATAAAAATGAAATAATAATTTTCACATGTATATTTATATGAATTTCTCACATAATAGTATCTATAAAAATTGGATAAATAGAAAAATAATTATTTTTTATTTTAAATATATAAATCAAAATGAAATACATAAACTTTATATGTTCTAAAATTGTCTACTGATAAAAATTGAACAATGAAAACTAAAATTACCCCCACACAGACTAAGATAAAAAATACAATTAAACATTTGTTTTATTATATAATATTTCCTTATCTGTTTCATTGATCCTTTTTAGAATGGGTATCATTTTTTATTATGTATAGAAAAATGTGGACAGAGTTAACCGTCCATCTCAGCCGATGAGAAAGAATGAGTGTTAGGTATTCAGTTTGTTCTGTTGGAGTGGCCCGTGAAGTAACATTTGTCTCTATTCAGCACAGTTAAAGAGGTTTTGATTGAAGCAACGTTATCAATCATCTCACGGAACTGCATCAAAATGTGTCACGCTTCTCAGTTTCAAAACATAAAAGTATTCCATTATTAATATTAACCATGAGATCATTAAGGTTGTTTTGTTAAATGTATGATATAGACACAATGTGACCAAGGTTTTGTTGGGTCATGTTCTTGAAGATAGTGGCTGTGAAAAAAAGAAAAGAAAAAAAAAAAAAAAAAACAGAAGAATGAATATGGGTGAAGGCACAAACTACCATACAGCAATGATGAATTGACTCTGGTTCAAACAATATTATAAAATGCAAGAATTATTATGACATCATCTCACACAAAATTGTAAAATGCATTACAATCGTTTTCATTCAATCACTTATTTGACTTAGTTTATTAGGATATGTAAAGTGTTGACGTCATTGGTTAATAAGTTTGAACTTTGATATTTTTGAAAAACAATTCAATTTTTTACTAGTTTCCGTTAAAAATAATATTCCTTTAATTTTATATTTCTTTATATTCTAAATTTTTTTAAGAAAGTATAAGATCAGCTTTAATAATTTTAAATTTTAAAAAAATATATTTTTTAAGATTAATATTATTTAATTAGATTTGGTTGAATATCAACTTAAATTTGTTGGATGATCATCTTTTTAAATTAAATCATATTATCACCAATTAACTTCCATAATATCTTTTATAAATTTTTTGAATATTTTATTAAGATTGTTCAGGTATTTTTTATATTAAAGGATATTATTTTATAGGAATAGTTAATATTCTTTATGATCAACAATGTTTTATCTTCTTCAAGAGATATATCTTATTTGATTATACCTAGAATATACATTTCAAAAAAATTAAAATATCTTTTTAGATGTACTATCAACTAGTCAATCCATATACAACAACAAGTGTGAATCATTAGAGCATGTCTTGTTAAGATCAATGTAATTCATACGTATTATTCACTTTTCGTTAGTTTTTTTTATGAATACTACATTAGTTAATCAAGTGGTATATGTGATTTTCTTACGGAAATCGACTCATAAAAGTTTGTTAACTCACTAGTGCAAGGAGCATATTTTGCAACGGAATATGACACCGATCTTTTCTCTCTTATTTTTTGTTTTTCCTAGGCAATTGGTTTCATCTCACTTAAAATAGATAATGTATGTGATATAATATTAGAATCAATACATGACATATCAATCACATTTCATCTAAACAAGTAGGCATCATCAAGCAAGAATTTTTTAAGTTATTTTTTAATTGGTGTATTAGTCATGGTCTATGTCAGTCACTTGATCTAGTGAAGGTCCATCTTAAACATTTGAATTTTATTTGCCTTAGTTGTCCATCGTCAAATTCCAAACGTAAGTTCAACTCCACTTAATCTATGATATGCTTCTCCTAAGGACAAACATGTTGAAATTACCCTTGATGTGTAGTTGTTGTTATTTTACATAATAAAGACATATAGCAAAATAGAGGAATAAAATATTATAAGAGAAAGAATATATAAATTGAAATAAACTAGATCGTTATTATTGTACTTCTCATCTGCCAATTGCAATACATTTATAACACTAGCATTAAGAAGAAAAAAAAACTAACTAAAATGTTTCCTTCTAAAGTTTAGAAATATTTACTTTAACTAGAAGACTTATTCAACAACTTAAAAAAAAAAAGATAAAATAAATAAAGATGTCACATGTTGTCTAAAAACAAATATGTAACACCCCTCCTTAATTTTTGAAACTCCAAACTTCAATCTTCTATTTTAAGAACTCAATCTTGCTGACGGAAAGTGGCTTGGTAAATAACTCTACAACTTGGTTTTCAATTTTGCAATAAACAAGAACAACAAATCCATCTCTTTGTACTTTCCTTAAGAAGAACAACTTAATTTTAGAATACTTGGTTTTTCCATTAAAGACAAGATTATGAAAAATAGTTGTTACAGTTTGATTATAAACAAAAACTTTTGTATTGTCCTTCAGCTCCATGTTAAGATCAATTAAAATTTTCTTCAACTACTAGACTTGCTTAACCAAAAATATAGCAACAACAAATTCAATTTGTATTGTAAATTGTGCAATAATTTCTTGTTTTTTCGAACTCCAAGAGAAAACTCCATATCCAAAACTAAAGTTCATATCATCAATTTGTTGGCAAAATTTGGGTCATGTATATATATGATACATATTTAAATGTATTAGGGTCATTATTTATTAAGCCAAATAATAAAGTGATCTGAATAAATTAAAGTTTTGGCTAAAGGCATATGTCATGAAAATAATATTGTGTAGAGACCATAAAGTAATTTCTAATTTGATGAGGGGCCAAATTGGAAATACTAAAACTTAAGTAATTAACCTAATTTTGGTTATATAAAGGGTCATGGTCCCCTTCTGAGAGCACACAGATAAAAAACAAAGTTACAGTCTCGTTCCTTTCTCTCTATCCCCATCAAGAGAGAAAATCAAGAGGGAAATACAGGTGCTCTTCAGGTGGAAGATCATAAGATCAAATCAAAAGTGCTCTACAAAGGATATCGTCATTATGGCCAATTCAGGTACGCTTTCGCATTTAGTTTGTAACATGTTTACAGTATGGGATTATAGATATATGTTTGATCATTAGAATGAAGATCATATTCAATTATAGTTTAATCCAACAATTGGTATCAGAGCCTCCCATACTTGATTCATGTTTGTCTTAGGAAATATTTAAGAATTTAAATTAATTTACGTAACCCTAAATCCCTAATTAAAAACCCCAAAATTGAGAATCGGGTTTCTTAAAACCCAATTCTCTGTTCCACGTGTGGCATTATCCGGAGACGGCACAACTGTTGGCTCAACATGAAGAATTAGCGAAGGTCGCACGACGCGCCTCCGGTGTGGCTGGGGAAGGGATTCAGTTTCTCATTAAGAACCCTAATTGAAAAATCAACTACGCGTTAAGAAAGGATCGAACAGTTGGAAAATTGTAAACACCGATAAACAAAACGAGACCTTTTTTTTTCTTCTCTACGATTTTTGTGCTTTCTCTCCCTCTCCCTTTTCAAGTGCAGAGCTCCAATAACGTAACTGCCAATTCTATTTTATGTAATTTAATTATTGTTGCTTTACGTGCAAGCTTCTCCAATTTTTCCCATCCAAGGAAAGAAGAATACTACGTTAACATTTTTGGGGAAATTCATTCACGATTATTCTGTAAGATTTGTCTGAGAATAAGTTTTGTTTTTTTTTTTGGGTATCTGGGGTTACAGAGGAGAGAAAGCTGAAAACTTTTTCCGCCTCGTGGTTTTGTTGATATCATGGGTTATGGGTTATTCTCCTTAGGCAAATGGGTTTGGCAATAATTGGCTATTATTAATTTTGCTGAAAATGGGAGTTTTATGTTATTGGGTTTTGTCTGGGTCAGATTTATTTGAAAGGGGTTTATTTTTTGGTGGGTGGGAGGTTCTCTGGAATGTCCCGGAGGGGATTAAGGGTTGACTTATTTTGAAAGTTTGGAGCTTGATTTGTGTTCGGGTTTTGAGTTGGGGTGGCTGAGATTTGTGAGTTGGGGTGATTGAGGTTTGATTTAAGTGATGGATGAGGCACTGGGTAGCTCATGTTCCCTGCCCCCTTTCCTGGCAAAGACTTATGAGTTGGTGGAGACTATCCACTTTCTGCTACCATAATGTCTGAGTATTCTAACAAGAAGACTCGTGGTGCCTTCGTTGCTGCAGTGTTTGCCATGCAGGGTTTTGGCAGGTGATATATTTGCAATTATAATTTCAGCTGCATTCAAAAACAGGTTTGATGCACCACCATATGAGGTTGATCCGGTTGGCTCAACAGTCCCAGAAACAGACTACATTTTAGAGGTAAGAATGTCTTCATGGAGGGAAATTATGCCGCACAGGTCCTTAGAGAGAGTTAGGTTAAGGAATATCAATTAAAGGGTTTAGTTTAAAACTCTAGATGGCAGTTAATTACTAACAATCGGGCCCTTAACCCATGAGTTCGTCTTCGGCCCATAATGCATTCTGCAGCGGTGATGGTTCACGTCTACCGCTTGTTTCTATGCTCCTTTATGTTTGGAGTAGAGAATTTTTGAAGCCCAAATCTATGTATATGGGCCTATTGCTCTTAAGGCCTTCTATCTTCCATGGGCAATGCTTGCTTTGGATGTCATTTATGGCTAATTCAGAAGGTGGAAAGAACATTTTGAAGACTCCAATGTGGGTACGTAAATTGGTTGGAAGGTGAAGAATTGGAATGCAACCAATTAGTCGTGCGCAGCCTGCTAATAACCCTCAGCAAGAGAGTGACTTCGGAGTTGCTTTTAGGGGAAGGACCTAACGTCTTGGTGGTTTAATATTTAGTTTTGTTTATATAAATAAAATATTCAATTTTAATTTTTTGGTAGTTTAATATTTTTGTGAGCAAATTGAGTCAAGAAGTTACCAAAGTAACCTCTTTTGAATTGGGTAGTTCATGAAAAATATTGAATGTTAGTGTTTGTGTATATTCATGCGAGTATTAGTCGGCCCAAAGGAAGATTAATATTTGGTCGAATTACATACACACCTGTAATGATAAACATGTGATAATTATAAGGATTTGCTTTGTCGATGATAAATCAATCCAAAGACTGGTTTGTTGTTGGACGTGCTTTATTGTCAATGTTTGATTATTACAACAAGATACCTCTAGCAGTTAATATTACTGTCCAAAGACTTGATATTGATGGTGCATTGGGTGTCTTGAGATGGGTTAAACCATTATTTGAATATATATTTTATTTATAATTATTTAATTTTATAATGTGAGCATAATTAGTTTATTTCTTTTGTTTTAATCCAGCTACAATTGCTTCTGTATCTGCCAATTTAAATTTTGTTCCGGTCCTCAATGGAACAAATTTTAAGGACTGGAAAGAGAATATTGATATTATTCTTGGCTGCATGGATATGGATCTTGCATTAAGGACTGAGCAACCCCCTGTTCCTACGGATTCAAGTACCTCTGAACAGAAAAGAGATTATGAAAAGTGGGATCGCTCAAATCGCATGAGTCTAATGATCATTAAGCGCGGCATCCCGGAGGTGTTTAGGGGCACTATTTCTGAAAACATCACAAGTGCCAAAGAGTTCCTTGCTGAAATTGAGCAGCGCTTTGCAAAAAGTGATAAGGCGGAGGCAAGCACTCTTCTTCAGAACTTGATCTCCATGAAATATCAGGGCAAAGGAAATATCAGGGAGTACATTATGAGCATGTTTAATATTGTCTTTAAACTCAAGGCACTAAAGCTTGAACTCTCAGAAGACTTGCTCATTCATTTGGTGTTGATTTCTCTTCCCGCAACGTTTAATCAGTTTAAGGTATCTTACAACTGTCAGAAGGATAAATGGTCTCTTAATGAACTTATTTCACATTGTGTACAAGAAGAAGAAAGGCTAAAGCAAGACAAGACAGAAAGTGCTCATTTTGCAAGCACCTTTAAGGCTAAAGGCAAAAGAAAGAGATCGGAGGATCCCAAGAAGGAAGCTGTTAAAGGTCCAGAACAAAAGAAACAAACTCAAGAATATAAATGTTTCTTTTGCAATAAGACTGGACACGTAAAGAAGCAATGTGCTAAATATCATGCTTGGCGTGAAAAGAAAGGGTTGCCTAAACTACCGGAAGTCAACTAATTCTGAAAGATGAATATATGTTGAAAATGGCAAATTGGTGGAGATGGAGACTATTGAACATTTTAGATTATTATTGTGTACTGGTTTTTTATTTTAGATTTAAAAGACATTTTTTTTGTCGTGCCGTCTTTTAGATGGAATTTGGTTTCAGTTTCTTATTTGGACAAATTAGGTTATTTGTGTTCATTTGGAAACAATAAGTTCAGTTTGTCTTTTAATTCAGATATTGTTATAACTAGTTCAATTTTTGGCTAATGATAATCTATATTTACTTGATACTGTGGTCACCTATAATGCAACTCTTAATACAGAATCTCGTGGTATTAAACTAAAATTGGACTCCCGAACAGTAAGTAGTTACTTCATTGGTTATTCTGAGAGAGCCAGGGGATATAAATTTTATGATCCCACATTAAAGACAATTTTTTGAGACGGGAACTGCTATGTTCTTTGAGGATATTGAGTTTGAGGGGAAGAATAAAATTAATAATTTTGTATTGGAGGAAGAATCGACAATAAATCCAGAACCGATTCAAACAGTTACTTTTGATAAAGTAAGTTTGGAACCTCCACAAGACATTGATGATAAACCCCATATTCAAGATAATTTGATTGTTCGTCAAGACCAAACTCAAGATCCTCAAGAACCTGTGCGTCATGAGCCGGGGATACTCCAGTTACTAAGGAAGACAAGTTTAGTCTAAATTAGTGCCCAAAGGGAAATTTGGAAATTGAGAAAATGCAACAGATTCCCCATGCATTAGCTATCGGGAGTTTGATGTATTCCCAAATATGTACGCGTCCAGACATAACATACATAGTTGGGGTTCTAGGCAGATATTTAAGCAATTAAGGAATAGACCATTGGAAAGCAGCAAAAAGGGTCATAAGATATTTAAAAAAAACAAAAGATTATATGCTCACATACAGGAGGTCAGACCAGTTGGAGATCGCTGGGTTTTCTGACTCAGATTTTGTAGGATGTCAAGAATTTGTAACATGCTATAAGGCATCAAATCATGGGATATGGCTGAGAAATTTTGTCACAGGGCTGCAAATTGTGAAAGGCATTGAAAGACCACTTAAGTTATATTGTGACAATAAATCAGCTGTATTGATAAGGAAATAGTACAAAGTGGACAGATTTTCATAGAACACTTAAGGACAAACTCCATGATAGCAGATCCTCTAACTAAAGGACTTCCGCCCAAGGTCTTTCATGAGCATGTTGATCACATGGGTGTTTTACAGTTTGAGGAATTTGTGGTTTAGTGGGAGTTAGTCATTTTCATATATTTTATGTTCTATGTTTAATTTAATATATGTATACATTGTTTTTGGACATATTTGGTTATCTATAGATATGCGGTTTTTTTGTTCATTCATTACACTTTGTACATTAAGGTTACTATATCGATCTCGATAAGTTAAAGTTTGGACCAGTTGAAAATAGACGTGTACAGATCACCTTCACGTAATTTTTCATGCTACACATTTCATGATGAATCCATGTCATTTGGTTATGTCAGGATGAGTAATCTTGTTGGTTTTAGTTGCGATGATGCAATGAAAAGCTGGTTTGGTTCTATATCCTGATATGGTTAATGGACAGGACTTTTGGAATATGCTAAAGGAATATAATGACAATTTTGAGCTCATAAAGTCTAACACATTTGTAAGGTTGTAAGAACATATATATTTGTGACCAGTGGGAGATTGTTGGCAAAATTTGGGTCATGTATATATATGATACATATTTAAATGTGTTAGGGTCATTATTTATTAAGCCAAATAATAAAGTGATCTGAATAAATTAAAGTTTTGGCTAAAGGCATATGTCATGAAAATAATATTGTGTAGAGACCATAAAGTAATTTCTAATTTGATGAGGGGCCAAATTGGAAATACTAAAACTTAAGTAATTAACCTAATTTTGGTTATATAAAGGGTCATGGTCCCCTTCTGAGAGCACACAGATAAAAAACAAAGTTACAGTCCCGTTCCTTTCTCTCTATCCCCATCAAGAGAGAAAATCAAGAGGGAAATACAGGTGCTCTTCAGGTGGAAGACCATAAGATCAAATCAAAAGTACTCTACAAAGGATATCGTCATTATGGCCAATTCAGGTACGCTTTCGCATTTAGTTTGTAACATGTTTACAGTATGGGATTATAGATATATGTTTGATCATTAGAATGAAGATCATATTCAATTATAGTTTAATCCAACACAATTGAATCACCCCAATCACTATCTAAGAGACTTGTTAGCTTAAATTCTTCAATCCACTTGAACTTGATGTCAAATTACAAGTGTCTTTAATATATTTAATCACCCTTTTTGCAACCTTGAGATGCATTTCACTTGGACAATGCATAGTTCGAGATCAAATGCTTACTACATTTAAGATGTTAAACCAAGTTGTTGTAAGGTACATCAAACACCTTATCATATTTGAAACATGCATCATTTATCTTCTCTATTTCATTTTCCTTACTGATATGGTTACAATAACAACATTTAACATTAACTCTATAGTGTATACAATATAGATGACATCATTAAAAGTTTTGAGAATCAACATCGATTTGTAAAAAAGTTGATGTTGAAAGTGTGAACATTTAACATCAGTTCTAATTGATATTGAATATTTTCACTTTCAACATTGGGTTTTTTACAACTTGTGTAGAAAGTTTTTTTAATTTTTTAAAATATTTGTCGTTTTGTAACATTTCTTCCACTTGAAAATAAAATTTAGTTCAAAAACAATCATAAAAATTGTCAAACAAGTATAAAACAATCCAACATAATTATAAATCAATCTCATACAATATATAATTTAAATTTTTTAATAATTTACAAATAAATATTTAAATAATAATTATAACAATATTCGAACGACAACAAATGAGAGGGCAAGACCATGATGGAGGATGAAACTACAACAAAGCATGAGATAATGATGGAGAGTAGGGATAGCATGACAGAAGGTGAGGAGAGAGTGAAGACGCGTGGATGAGACGAAGGACGCAATAGAAGTCGTTAAGATGAGAGAAGGACGTAATGGGAGCCACAAGGATGCGACAAAAGCAATGATTGAGGCTATGAGGGCACGACTGAGGACATAATTAAGGTTACAAAGACGAGACGAAAGGTGTGATGAATGAAGATGAAGACGCGACATAAGACACAATGAAGATAATGAAAGAATGTGGTGGAGAGCAATAAGGAAACACAGCGAAGAACGCAATTGAGGTTAAAGGTGTGACAAAGGATGCAATGAAGGTTAAGGAGGTAATAAAGGATGAGGATGAAGAAGAAGAAAAATCATTTTCTAGAAAGGAAAAAATGTTTAGGATTTAGGGTGTAAAAGAGAGGAAGAAGAAGAAGAATCATTTCGTATAAGGGAATAAATGTTTTATATAATTATAAAGGACTTTCTACAATAGTTCTATTATAATCAGTGTCGAATATGATTTTCTATATCGGTTACAATAGAATCGATGTTAGAATGTGACTTTCTACATTAGTTACAATATGTAGAAAACTTGTCCTAAATTACAAATTTGTCACTGCCTTTTTTCTACATAAGTTCTTTTATAATCAAAGTTAAATAGTATCGTTAAAAATTATTTTTGTTATAATGCTAACTTTTCCTTTTGATTCATTGGAGTGTTCATTTCTTTGTATTCTTGAAGTTTGAACTTCTTCAAAATCTTTTTTGTATACTTTTTTTTACAAATGAAAATTTCATGTATTCCTTGTTTGATCTCAATGCCTAGAAAGAAGATCATTAAACCAAGATTTGTCATCTCAAAACAGCTCCATCATTTCTTTTTTTAAGTTTTTCTACAAGCCTTGTCTTGCTTCTTGTTACAAAACGTCATCCATAATGTGAAATGATAAGAATGTCAACTCTATCATGCTTAACATATAATTTTGATTCAACTAAGCTTTTGACAAATCTCAAACTCATCAAACTATCATCAATTTTGTTGTATAAGAATATTAGGACTTATTTCAATCCATAAAGAGTCATCTTAAATAAATAAGCATTATTTTCTTCTTCTTCCCTTACAAAGTCTAGGAGTTGTTCAACATAGATTTCTTATTATAAGAAACCATTTATAAAAACTTATTTAACATCAAGTTTATAAGACATCTAATTCTTTTGAACAAATATAGAAAGCATCAATTTAATGATATCTAATTAAGCAATTGATACAAACATATCTAAGTAGTCTACACTAAAAATTTGTACATAAATTTTCACCACCACTAGTCATTCCTTGTGTTTGTTGATAGAACGGTCAATATTAAGCTTAGTTACACCCACTTGACCCTAATTAATTTTTTACCTTGAGGTTCATCCACAAAAATCCAGGTTTGGTTTTTCTTAATAATTGACAACTCCTTCATTGTAACCACCAATTTGGTATTTTCTTTGCTTCTAAATAATATGCACATTCACACACAAAACCATTATATTTTTCATTAATTTTAGAGAGCAATCTAGTACCTCTTACTGGAACATCTTACGTTAATTCATGTTGTCAGCTTCCATCTTATTTGTTGTGTTTAAGGAAGAAGGATTTAACTCCAAATCTTTCTTCTTTTTATCATCCTAATTCCATTCTTCATTTTCCACAAAGTGCTATTTTTCTAGTTTGCGGTTTAAAGATTTTTTATAGTCAACAAATTCGATTCATCCAATTCAAGCTTCTATTCAAACGGCAAAATAGGATTTTTGAAAGGAATCGTGCGATTAGTGCTATTCTAACTACCATGCGCACCATTAAGAAAGAATAAATTATATGCGCCCAAGCATAAGATATAAACAATATACTTACAAAAATTAGTAAATAAAAGAATGTTGCTTTTCTATTTAGCACACATCATTCTCAGCATGGGAAAAGCAAAAATAAAATCCCGATTGTGTCATCCTCAGAAGAGTAGGAACATACTGAACTATGGAAGAACCGAAGTATGAAGCATTCTCTATAGTAACCCAATGGAAAGAGAAAAAAACCACTAACATGATGAGTAGAGTTAGTTGGAAGAAAACTGTATGATTGAAACCCCGAGCTAATAATGGGAATAATAAAACCTGAGCCAAAACCATTATCATCTGAAGCATGCAATAAGTGAATCATGACAAAGGCGCCAATACTCTCTGGAGGACATGGACGTCCATGGCATTGCTGAAGGTAGAAGGGTGCCACGCATAGATGGCATTCTGGTCAACAAAGGGGTAAAAAAGAAAAAATACAAAAAGAAATGGAAAAAAGAAAGTGTTATTAAATAAAAACCAAACAAAAATCTAGAAAACATCATGAAATCAATAAAACCATAAGAGCACTTGGCACCAGGATATCACCTTTGCCCAATGAGGATTCCATAAGCCACTTTGGAGATGGATGACCCAGAAACTCCCAAAAATACAGTTTTGTAGTGAGGCAAGATAACTTTCCCTGAAATTCAATCCATTGAAGTCAGTACATAATGTTTGTCCATGCAAATATACAATAATGACATATAATGCAAATTGTCGTCACTCCCAGATCATAGCAATCAAATTCACGAAGAGGAAAGTCTTAAAAATACTAAATAATGTCAGGATGTATGACATGTTTTAATCTTTGATATGCAATCAGGCAGAAGAGAAATTACCACAACAAAACAAAAGACATCGCTGCCAAATTTACTATAATACACACGTTACAGATAATTCACAATATATAACCAAATTTTTCTAGTAAAAGCCCCAGACACTGATAGAGAAAGTCTTCACATTTTTCATCAAACAAAGCTACACTACACATTGACTAAATAATATCAAATTTTCAATTTCCTATTGATCAACATAGAGATATATCTTGACAATTGAATAGAAGCATCAGCCTGAACCCACAAGTAATAGAGTCAGGCCTCACCTATGCTCATGTAGTTGCTGTGGAGAACTGAAACTAGAATACTAGATTTTTCTCTATTGAGATCCTTTGGATGCAAAGATTCCTTGGATAAGGTCATTTCATTGTTAAAATCAGTAATTGGTGGAGAAAGGTTACTGTTACTCTGACAACCAATAACTTCAAGCCATATTCCAGAAGGGAATCTTCCTGGCCTCACCAACCAAAGAAATATCTTGGTATAAGGGGTAGCATGAATAATTGATATAGTCACTTCAATCAGTAGACAGACAAGGTTAATGGTTGTGTCCACGATACTAAAGAATATATAGAAAACAGAAGTAGTTGGTAAAAGAAGTAAAAGTGGCGTAAATAATAGAGATCCAACAATATGTTGCTTCACTGTATAATCAAAGGTATCCAACCTCTTCCTTAGAGGATTCCATTTCCGACCCCTGCCAAAATAACCAGCCACGTCATGAAAATATACAAGAGAAAGTATGTATGCAAAATAATTGCGTATCTATAGCAGTTATTCTTCAAAAAGGATAATGAATTGCAAAGGGAGTTAAAGAGATGTGCAGCAAATATGATGCCTTAGTAAATAGAAGAAACCCTTATGATTTCCACTTTTATAATATCGCAAATTATCTCCAATTTACTAATGCTTCATTGCCCATGTTTTTAGAGATACACATAACAGCTAACGTAAGAAGGATTATCTACATACGTAAGTATAGTTATTCACAAGAAAAAGGAAATTTTTTACTAACGATATCACCTCACTAGCATCTATTCGGTGAGTATATGTCTTTCCTGTAATTGTTCCAAAATATTTTCACTTGCAGACTAAGACCTCTTATGCGAATATCTTAGTGGATTGTCAAAAACTAATTAAATTAGAAAGTTAGATTTATAACACAAATACCTAATCCACGTTCAATTCTCAATCAAATCACTTCCTTGCTCATAACAATCATCTAAAATATACCAAACTTGGTTACCTGAAAAGTCGCCACAAGGCTGCCAACGCCTGTATCTGTGATGAATATACAAGTGAAATGAACCAATGTAGTGTTGAAACATGTAAAGTTGCTAGAGCAATCATGTCTATGATCAAAGCAGCAGGTACAGTGAATCCACAAAGGATTCCTAAAACAGAAAGCCCTTGAATAATATAATTAAAGACGAAACCCACAAAGATCCAGAGTGTTGACCATATCTGGACAGCATTCAAAGAAACCATGCCAAGTACTCCAGCAAGCTCAGCATTCAATTTGAATCCTGCAGGGTTTCCCATTAACCACACACACCCAGAGCGCAGAAATGTGGAAAATCCATGCATGAAGTTCAAAACTGAAAGGCAAATGGGTTCTGCATGATATAAAAATGTCCAGCCAACCAAGTTTCCAAGGAGAATATCGACAACCAAAGTTGACCACATAGAATGCCTACGCATCGCAGCTTTCTCTACATATTCAACACATGATTGTGCCCTTGAACACAATAGAACAGTATTAAACATGGAGAAAACATTAAATCAAGAACATAAATTATATGTTTAAGAATAGTAAATAATTGCCTCCAAATATAAACATTTAATCTTATTAGATAAATTAATTTACATTTATCAGAAGATAATACCATGAGAAAAGAGCAATATAAGCTATGATAAAATAGTTAAGTGGTAAACACAAAAATCAGCCTATAAGGTTTTCAATTTCAACCCAGAAAATTTGTTTAAACTGGGTCAGATCATGCACAACCCAGTTCTAAGAAATCCTAAAAATAGTTTTTCTAAAAAATAAGTGAAAAAGAGGGGATAGGCTAATTATTTCACTCCCATCAAACCCACTGTCCCTTTTTTACGTTCTCTTCTGATTCTTCTTGTCTTCTTTCTACTCTTCTTTGACCCTTTCAAAAGAGTGACATAATTTTCTTGCCTCCTCTTCTCAATAATCACATACTCTTTTTTGTTATCTTTCTTTGGGTATATTACCAACTTCTTTATTTAAAAGTAAAAGAACAGTGGTTTTTCCATCCAACAAGTGGCATTGGAACTGTGCATTTCAGAGGGTCTTGTTCTAATATGAATGTGGTTAACATACAAGACACAATTATAATTTATCTTCAGGTAAAAACTCTTTAATTCATCCCTCATAAGTCTAAAAATTTTCACAATAATTTGACATTTGGGTCCATCAAACACTACCATAACACTGACATTACTAGTTTAGTTGGGTTTGGTTTCCATAACACCCCCACCAACACTTATCCTTTGAGGAAACTAATTTACATGGACTTTGTAAAAAAAAATTAAAGCCTCACATTTCCAAACTACGAAATGTGCACAAAGTAATATACTTTACCTAAAGATTAATATTACCTGAGGTCATTCTTCTGAAGAAAGATTGGGCAATATAATATCTGAAAACGGATTTGCATATTTATCCAAGCAGTCTTCTTGAATACATTTGTTGATGTCACACACATCCACGACTCTGAATCATAATTAAAATGTGTTTTGAAAAACTGGAGAATAACATAGAGCATGGTGGATAAGGAAGCCAAAAACATGGAAAACAGATGCCCTATAACAACAAGCCTGAAAAGTCACAATATGAATCATTATATCTTTAAGAAAAAGTGAGCACAATATGATATATCAATAGTTAAGGTGTGTACATGGGAAGTATGGAGAACCGGCTCAAGGATCTTGAGCCCAAGTGTGTCTCAAAAATTCTTTTAGCAGCAGCTGTGCAATTAATAGCCAGAATAACTGCATCCTGGGTTGAAATTTCAAAAGGCAGATTAGCAAGTAGGAAAAAAATCTGCATACACAAATACGAATAAGGTAAATTCATTACCAAATCAATGAATTGCTGCTTATTATGAAGCTCCTCGATCCATTTAGGATTTTTAATAGCAACTTTAGCTTGCTCATTTGAACTCAAATGACATAATGAGAAATGATGAGTGCCATAAGAGGGCGTTTCATAAATTATAACCTACAAGTGGTTTAATATTATATATATGTTTGAGATTGGAATAAAAGTCTCGAGAAATCACAAGTACTTGCACAAAGGCAAGTACAAAAAATAATGACTTACATACGTGAACATCATATTGTGACAAAATTTGTCCATTCCAATGAATGTGATGCAGATTTGGTAGCCTGTGTATTCCTACATCTTTATGCATAGGAGAATCAAATGTGAGCAGGACCCAGTTACACTTTCCACGAACATATTGGCTACTCTTCCTCAATGAACCATCCAACCGGAAGCAACAGCAACTCCTACAGTTATTCTCTCTGTCTGTACTTCCCTCTTCCAAAGCATTGCCATACTCAGAGAACTTCTTTTTGTCATACTCCGTCTCATTCATCAAACTTTTACTAGTAGTAGGGTCAGTGCCACACAGACCAAGTACAGAGAACTTGGACTTATCCTCAAGAAAGGAAGGCATGCTCCCACATGCATCATGAATGATCCCCTATAGAGAGTAGAAGTTCATTATGTCAGTTATCCTTGTTACACTGGACCATTTCAATTATGAATTAATTCGCGTCCAAATCATTTTATTTTCCCATTAAATTTTATATGGTTCTCCGCAGATTTGTGAAAATGTTCCAATATTTAGATAAAAATCAATCAAGATACTGATACCTAACAAAATATTCTAAGAGAAAAAATGTTCATGTCCATTTAAACTTGAAACTCTTGCGGGAACTTGAACAACAATAAAAATTATTAAATCACAAAAAGTAAATTCACAGTTTCCTCTGCAATTAATAGTAGTAACAAGCATACAAAACTAATAAATTCACTGGTTTTATGGACATGACAAAGACACTGGGACACAGCTAATCTCCAGAACATAGGACACGGCTGATGTCATATACATAGACACACAGATATATATACAAATATATCTGTGTCTGTGTGTGTGTGTGTGTGTGTGTACTTTCTAGGAAGTGTTTAACCAATAATAGGTGTCAGCACACTTTCTTTACTATTACTCAAGCATCTCGAAGAGGTATGTCCACGATGTGTCCGAGATGTGACCTGAAAAAAAATAGTTTTATATTGACACAGTTGAGGAGTGTCAAACACACATCGTAGGGGTGTTTGACAAGTGACATGTCCAAAAAGTGTCAGACTGGCACATGCTATTCTACAGAAGCGTCACTGCTTTAATCTAATGCAAGGAAAATGGATTCTGAACCTCAAATTCAGTTTTATACCTCAATGCCAACACTAGAACTAGAAAGCAAGACTTCACTGCATGTAAACGCTACAATAACGTCAAGGGATGATGGTGTACAGGTTACAAACCACCCAAACAAAATACTAGAGGATGATTCTTCATTTGATAAAAGTTGCTTTGGCCACCAAAGCCTACAATGTCTTCTCATCTTCCTCTTATTTCACATAAACTAAACTCATGAAGTCCCTGCAATAGACAGAGACAAGCATGCGTTTACTTCATTAAAATAACTCAGACTAAAATTTAGGTAATAAATTAATAAAAAAACTAGAAGAAGATTTAAATGGAATTATATGCTATACTTACCTTTTACTTTTTACATTATAGAGGCACATTACATCCGGAATTGCACTTGATGATATCAACAAGTAACATCAATCAATAAAGAAACTATCTCTGAAATCTATTGGACTGGACACAGTAAGTTTCTCAAAAACTGTTTAACGTAAATTTAAGTTGAAGATTCAAAATTTATAGTTCAACACTTCCTATTAAGAAAAAGTTAGTATGTAAAACAAGAAAATGTTTGACAAATACAACAGAATTATAACCATATTAGGAAGTGCCCTCATCCACAGATAGAGTCAAAGATAGATAAACAATCCCACCATAAATTTGTAGAATCTCTCAATTATGTACTAACATGGTATCTACTCACCATAATTTCCTTCAACAACCAACAACAATTTAATATGCAGGATGTGTGATGAGTAGATACCTGAATAAAATCTATTTTAACCATATTATTGATGAAGGCCCATGTGAAAGTATGGACAAGGTCTCCATACTGAGAACTGAAATGGAGACCACCATAGATAGACAAAAAGGAGAAGTCAAGGTGTGAAAGCCACATCAGCAAACCATTCAGACATAGAGTTTGTTTTAAAGAAGGACAAGTGTGTCAGGTGATCCAAACTTTCAGGGAAAACACTCGGTGATCTCTCAGCTGATTGATGTCATGGGAGCAAGCAAAAATATGGAGAGTGTGAATTCTGTAATCCTTCTTCTATCAGTGGCAGAAACAATGGAAAGCCAAAATTCCGTCTAACACGTCATCACAGACTATGCTTGCACCAATGCTGGCCTCCCTAATGCCTATGGCAATTGGCAAATTTAACATCACTGTTCCCAAATCTCTCCCTCACTAGATCTTATCATCAGTGTTATACCCGATCTTATTCTTGTAATAACTTTTAACCTCAGTACATGAACAGATTCCCCTCTGGATCACGGAATCGTGAATTGACTAAATGCCCTATCTAAACCTAGGAACAAACTCTGGTAGTGCTGAAAAATTACGATTGAGGCGGGATTTGGGTTTTTAATGCGGTTTGGATGATGTTTGCAGGTGTTTCCTGTCCACATTATATAATAAAAAATAATACTAGGAATAAAACCGCTCCAATATAAAGACCCCCCATTAGTGGAGAAACCCACGCCAAGACAATATTATAGTCATCTCTGATGGTAAGAAATCCGGTTGAATGATACAAAGGCACAGAATTTAAATGTTGCTTTGATCAAATTCCTCAATTGGTACTTTCATTAAGAGATGGCTATATAGTATGTTATTTGTAAATATATTCAGAAAACACAGTTACCAGAGCTTCCAACGGTATCCGGAAGATTATTTAAGCAAATAAACTTACACACGTTAACCTTAAAACCTATAAAAAAAGGAAAAAATAAAATAAAAATAGTCCTAAACCTAAAAATTTCTAATTAAATTCCAGTTAATTAAATGGAAGAAGAAATGTACTTCTCTCTACTTTATCTTTAAAAAACGAATATAAATTTTTGACGACAACATTACGCAAACATTTAACCAAGAAAACCTGAATTATTCAACAGCACTAGGGCAATTACTGAAGCTGCGTAGAGTTCACACTCAACAAAGGATCTGCGACTGCTCTAAGTAGGGTTAAAAGGTTCCAAAGTCGCCATTTACGAAGCTAAAAGCATTTCAAGAAAAAGTAAAGTTGACAAGGTAATTTAAACTAGCACGATCTCTATAAATGAAACTGTAAAGAGAGAGAAAGAGAGAGATACCGGAGCTTCGAACATGCACCACCGTAGAGGGCGGTGAAGCGGCGCGGAGCGGAAACTCTGAGAAAAGAGAAGGGGAGATAGAAAAAGTGAAAAAAAAGAGAAGTTTGGGGCAGGGAATGAGGAAAAAAGAAAAAAAAAAAAAGTGGCGAAGGCCGAGCGGCGAGAAGAAGACGAAGAAGAAGAAGAGAGGTCGGCGAAGGAGGAATAGAGGAAGGAAGGGTGAGAAGAAAAAAAAAAAAAAGTAATCTGAGAGAGAGACAGAGAAAGAGATGTGGAAGGTGAGGAGTGACGTAAAAGGAGTATAAAAAAATTATCCACTTTTTTAATTTTAATTTTAATGTTAAATTATATTTTACAAATACTTTTACTTTTTATTTTAAATATTTTTATTTTTTATTTTATTTAAATTTTGTAACATTTATTTCAAATAAAGTTAAATAATATAATTGAAAATTTATTTCATTTTTCAAAATTATAAAATGAATCTTTTAATGAATATTTAAAATTATGTTTTATTGTTTATTTTAATGATAGAAAACTTTTTATTTATTATTATTATTATTATTATTATTATTATTATTATTATTCATTTAATATAAAATTTTTATTTTAAAATTTTTAATAACATAATTTTAATTAATTATTATTTTTTAAAATGCAAATTTATTGTAGCACCTAAAAAAAATTATTCAAAATCTTTATCATATGTTTTATCATTAAAATAAAATTCAGAAAATCTTATATCGTGAAATGATAGGATTCATTGAAAAATAATATAAGATTTCAATCTTTATATTATTAAAGATAATGAAAAAACAAACAGAAAATAAGACAAATCAAGTAAAATAATTTGATTTTTTTCAAATTTATAATTCGATTTTACATGGGAATATGCAATTTCAAAAATCACCGTTTGACTATTAATCTAACAGAGTCGTGTTAGGAAAAAAAAATTATGACTGATAGAGACAAATCTGGGTACAATTATTCCCTCAATTACTCTTTTGATCATTTAAACTTGAATAGCAATTAGCACGTGCATTCCAATTTTCATAATATTGTAATTTGTATTGCAATTTAGAACTATAATATATAATATAATGATAAAACTAAACAAAACGTTAATTACACTATATGTAAATTTTGTTCAAAATATTTAATATATATTTGATGTTAAATGGATAATTTTCTGATTAAACACATGTATTAATGAAATTAAAAATTTTAATCAGTCATAAATAAATTTCTTCTGCTTGATAAACTTATTTTAAGATATATTATTTTACTGAAATTAATTTTTAAAAATAGTTCAGTAAAGTTGTGGTCGATGCCATTATATTTAATGTTAAAATGAAACATAATAATAGGTGAATATATAATAGAAAAACAGGTTAATTTTAAATTTATTATAAATAAAATTTTCTAATATAATCACATTTTAAAGAAAAATATTGTAATATGTTAAACAAATCTTCAAATGTAAATTACTAAAATATTTCTTAAAAACAACTGAAAATATATTAATAAATCAAAAATTAATATGGATTAGCATTTTGAAAAAATAATTTTAAAACGTAAAACAAATCTACAATTGTAAATTATTAAAATATTTCTTAAATAAATAACTGAAATATATTAATAAATCATAATTTTAAATATATTAAAAACTAGTTTGAGTTTATTAACGCATTTACTTACAATTCTTGCTTCTGTTCCCTTTCTCTTGGGCCTCCTTAATAAAATATATATCGGCCCAGTTGCAAGGCCTCTTATAAAGTCCCACATAATTTTGTATTAAAAAAAAAAACGTTTCAAAATTTATACATAAATTAATTTCACTCGCAATGAAATTATTAAAAAACTATCAATAAGTTAGTGATTTGTTTAAGTAAAATTTGCTATATGAAAATTTAAAAAAATTTGTATTCAGTTTATAATAATTATTTTCTTAACTTTTGTTACATGAAACTTTTTTTTTCATTTGATCCTCCCATACATCACATATAATAGTAAATATATAAGTTATTATGATAAAAAATAAAGAAAACAAAATTTGTAGAAACATTTTAAATGTCACTCAAAAAAATCAATAAATAACAGTATAAATATAAATAAATTTCTTTTCAGAAACCAAATACAAGATATGTGAATATTTCAAAGATAAAAAGTCACTAAAATATTTATTGATGATTAAATACGAAATTTATAAATATTTTAAAACTAAAAATATATTTTTAAGTTCGTTTCGATTAAAAAGGTTTAACTAAATTATTCATTCACAGAGATCTGTGATTTATAAATATTTTAAAACTAAAAAAATTTGTATTGATGGATCAATAAGTAGTTAAAAATAATAAAATAAACCTATAAAATAATTTAGGGCAAAGAAATCTGTGAAATCTAATTTTCGAACGCTAATCCTACAAGTTAATTTGTGTTTCTGTATATAATAAATTTTTCACGTACGGATTTTTTTTTACTATATATATATATATATATATATATATATATATATATATATATATATATATATATATTATTGATTATCTATTTATTTTCTGATTGTTTTTATTATTTTTATGATATTGTAACTTTTTGAATTGAATGTTCTAATTATGTTATTTTTTATTGATCATGATGTTACACGTATTAATATTTTTATATAATGATATTTTGTTCCATCTCATACAAGAATTACTTAACTCAAGAATATTAATAATTTTTTTATTAAAAGATATAGCTTCGTATAATTATACTCAAAATAGTATCATAGTTTTAATGTTTTAATATTATTGAATTATTTATTTTAAATTATTCTGAATTCAAAATATTTTAAATTCTTTTATAATATAAGATAAAGAATATAAATTTTAAAATAATAAGTATATACAGTAAAATAGATTAATTAATTTTTTATCAATTTTACTTAATTATATATGATTAATTATTTAAATTATATTTAGTTGTCTCTTGAAAACTTTAATAATTATCCATATAAACTGTTCTTAATAAAATAATTTATATAATTTATTATTTTATATTTTATTTCAATATTTATATTATTAATGTGAATTTTGTTTGTTATGATCATAATTTATAAAAATAATAAATTTTACTAATGTATTGAGAGCATATTGTTATTTTCTAAAAGATATTTTATTCTTATTATAGGTAATAGCAAATTATTTTGTTTTATAAATCATATATTATTATTATTATTAGAATATATTAATGTATATTTTTATCAAAGTTATAAAAGTTAAAAACTAATAATTTAATTAAAATGATTTAAAATATTACTTTATATGTGACTGCTGGGATTCGAGCCCAGGTCTCCACGGCCACAACGTATAATTCTTACCACTAAACTACAGTCACCTTATATTTTTTATTTTTATTTTTGTATTTGATTCGAACGTATAAAGTTTTAATAATAGAAGTTATTACTTGTATATTTTATCTTATATTTAATAAAAATATATTTTGAGATAAATTCATAAATAATAAAAGAAATATAAATATATTTATATTATTATACTTTTAATATTTTATATTATACATATATTAGTATAAGTGAAACACATCATTCTTATTTATCAAAATCAATTTGTTATTTATTAACTAGTTGAGCAATCATAGGTCTATTTTGATCGAAACAATAGCTAGAAGTCCATTTGGACATTACTTAAAAATCAAAAGATTCTTTAATTCAATTATTTATCATATACTAAGTGTGTCACAATGAAAATTAATAATAATATTATGACGAGAAAGTTGAAAAACGAGGAATATATTTATTATATTTTTAAAATTAATATAGGGTGATATTGAGAATCAATATACATAGACTATTTATATATCTTATAGTGATGTATCAATTTAATGGTTACATGTTCGTTTTACTGTTTGCAACCAAGTATTTGTGAAATTGTTAGTTCAACTAATCTGATATTAGATAATTTTTAAATTAATATTTTTTTATAATGATGATAAAATTGCATCTCATACTTTTTAATGAATATTATATATTTATTAAAATTGATGTTAAATATTTTATAGTTTATATTCATATACAAAATAAATTTATAAAATCATATAACGTATTTAAAGTTGATTGTATCATTATTACTCATGAGGTTGAAACTTTTAATTATAAATTGGGATGATGTTATTATACATATTGAAATAAGTTTGCATCAAACCAACAAGTTGTTTCATATATTTTCATTTTACAGTTGGTTTTAACTAAGTTTTTTTACAACTTAATTTATCACTTACGAGTTTGATAAATAAAGTTTTTGGATAGAATAAACAATTAAAAAAATATATTAATTGAAATGAATTATCATTATTTTATATTGATTTTCAAAAAAATGTAAATAAAAAATATTATAAAGATAATTCATTTATAAGGTTTAGTCAACCAAGTGAAAAATGTATATATTGATTATTTTTGACAAAATTTCACCATACCCATGTTGAAATTTCAATTACTGTTAAACTATGAGAAATAAGGTTTGAATTTTCATCTAATAGATAACCTATTCATGTAATTATCATGAAAATGATATTTATATAAAAAATTTTATAATATTTAATTTGACAAATAATGTAAATTTTAAAGATAACGATTATTTAACCAAGTTGAATAAGTTCGTCTATAGATTAAAACAATATGGACAGGTGTGGTATAATGTTCTTAGTGAGTATTTGTTAAAAGAAAGATATACATATGTTCATATTTGTTATTGTATTTATATAAAAAGATCATATAATGAATTTTCCATAATTATTGTTTATGTACATGACACCTAAAAAACTTATAAAAATAAAATTATTGTTTAAAGTAAGAATTTAAGATGAAAGATCTTAAAAGGAAAATGTTGTGTTTATGATTATAAATTAAGTATTTAAAAAAATTCTTTATATACCAGAGAGCTTATATAAAGAAGGTACTTAAAAAGATTTATATAAATAAAACATGTTAATTATCTACTTCAATTATTAGAAGGTCC